TATCTGTCTTTCAAGCTGAGCGAAACTCTTTTCTTGTTTGTTGTAATGTAGATTTTGTTACCTAGGAATGGATGGTTGTGTCCTTTGAGGCTTGTTTTTGTGTGAAAGAGTTTTTGTGATTTTTTTTCAAGAAAATTACCAAAAAAAGAAATTTTTTGAAAAAATGTGGATTAGCGGAAAAAGTTTCTTGATATTATTTTAAATCAAAATTTTATAAAATCCAGTTCAAAAGTAAAATATTATATATTACTTTTTTTTTTTTTTTTTTTTAACTCACAATCATGCCACAATTCTTGTCTTTATTGAAAAATTGAAGTAAATCTATAATATTTTATAGACTTTTATAAAGTAATCAACTCATCTTTATACAAAAGTACTCTAAGTTAGATTTTGAAGACAATATTACACTCCTCCAATAAATTGGCAATAATCTCTATTTACCAAGATCATTGCCAACAGTTTGTCATTGTTGATTGCTCGAAATCAATGAATTGCTAAATTAAAAAGGAAAAGGGGAAAAACAATTGAAGAAAGAGAACAATTCAAGATCCACCAAAAAAATCCAAAAATAAAAACAACCTCTTCTCAAAAGGGATCTGTCTGATTTGGATAGTTTTCTTGTTTCATTTAAACCTTGAAAAAATCTTCTTTTTACCACATGTGGCATCAGACGAGTCAATTCAACTGATCTTTCATTTAAGTGAGCACTATATTGGGATATCTCAAGGAAAGTATTTAGATCTTAGTTTTTTTCTATTAAAGCTTTGTCACTACTTGAAGAACTTAAGTAAGAGACAGGAGTTTACAATCTATATTACCTATCACTTGATCTTTTGGTGTCATAGAAGTTTTCATTAAGGGACTTGAACTTTTGAGATAAATATTTCTGGAACCTTCTTTCCGATTACCAATTATCAAAACATATGAATGTAACCAATAGAAACTTGTTTACATTAAAAAACTGATGTGTTTCATGTTAGCCAATTATCTTTGGTGAGGATTTGTGTTATCTAAAATTCAGGGTCAAATTGAAGTAGGCAAAATTTTCTAGAAAACTATGAAAGCAATAGCTCTAAGAGGTTCACAAGTAACTGGAAGGAAAAAAATAAGCCCTTTTGTCATCAAAAATCTCTATATACCTCTCACTTCAAAGGTTAGATAGTTTTTTTGATACTTTACAATCAGTTCTTCTTCCTTTGAAAACTTTCTTACCATTGGTATCAAAGGTATTACTTGACTTTTCTTGATTACTAGAAATCAAGTTTTTGAGTAAAAAGGTTTATAAACAAAAGAGAAAGAGTAAAAGTGACTCTTGAAGCTATACTTCAAGTTGTTTTAAAGAAAGTATTAAGACTTTATTAGCAAAGAAGTATAGAAACTTCTTGCAAAAATCTTTTTTATGTATAGTCAAAGAATCAGTGAAAAAAGTTTTTTTAAAATATTACATATTACTTTTTTTTTTTTTTTTTTTTTAAAACACTCTGTCAGGCTAGTTATGTGTGCTTTATTAAACAATTGTAAGCTGTACATATAGTATGAATCACTAAAGCTAAAACTTTAACTAGCTCACTCGTCTCAGTAATTACTCTAAGTGCAACTTTGGGAGTGATTTTTCGCTCCATTAAAAGTTCAGGTAAAGACCCTTCCAACTTTTAATATCATTGCCTGCAGGTCACTACTGCAGATCACTCTTTGCAATTCTGACAGAACTCAAAACCCAACCATTTTATTCTGAATCTAATCCCTTTTAATAAGATATCTGTGAGACCTTGATCTTCTAATCTTCCTTCTTCTATTAATGGAGCACCTTTTCTTTCTGACGATGCAGTTTTAGGTTTTGGATCAGGAAGGCTTGGAGGTCTTTTCATCTTATCATTTCTTTGGATCCCCTGTGTTCTTTCCCATTCTATGATTTTTTCGCATCTTGTATTTCAAACCTTCTTACGAAATTGGTTGCATACTGTACTCTACATCTTAGATTTTTTAAATATCTTATTATTTATTAAAAAACTATATATAATTATATAATTTTATATATTATCTATTTTTTTCTTTTTCTACTTTTTACTAATCCTTTAACTATATACAAAAAAATATTTACAAAAAGTTTTTTTATTTTTTTGCTAAAAAAATCTTAATACTATTCTTAGAACTCCTTGAAAAGTAACTTCAATAGTCATTTCTACTCTCTCTTACTTTTTTACAATTTTTTTGATCAAAAATTTGAATTCCGATAATCAAGAATAAATCAAGTAATACTTTTGATACCAATGACAAGAAAGTTCTCAAAGGAAAAAGATTCAATAATGAAGTATCTAAATATTTTTTTTATCTTTAAAGTAAAAGATATATAAAGATTTTGAATAGTAAAAAGACTTATATTATTTATTTCAGTTTGATACTGAATTTTGAGTAATATAAATTTTCATCAAAGATGATTGGTTGACACAAAACACATTGGTATTAGAAAAAGTAAACAAGTTCTTATTGGTTATACTTATATATCTCTATTACATTATGAATAATATAAAAAAGAAAGTTTTAAAAAAAGTTTTTTTTTTAATTATACATATTCAACCTCTAGAAAACAGTTATGATATCAAAAATAAAATAGATACACATAAAAAAATTCTATTTCTTTTCTAAGTTTCTTAGATAGTAAAAAGATTTCTTAGAATAGAAACTGAGATTTTTTAGTTTTTCTTAAACCATTTCAATCTGGTATATGCTTAAATAAAGACTTATTCGATATTACAAGTAATAATAAAAAAGATTCCTTTTGAGATTCAAATAAAACAAAGAAAAATATTTCAATTAAACAAAACTCCTTTTGAGAAGAGGCTATGAAATAAAACAAGAACTCTTTAAAGAGCTTTGAGTTGTTTTTTATCTTCTCTTTTTCCAATGCTAACTTTAGCAATTCATCATTTTTTGAAATAATCACAATAACAAATTATTGGCAATAATCCTGGCTGACTCAAAAGCATTCTGTCAAACTACTATGAAAATATGATATTGTTTTCTAAATCTGACTTAAAGTATCTAATTGAGACTTAGTTTTGTTTAATCTGAACTAGCTTAATAAATATCTTATATTTTTTAAGTATATAGTTCTTTAACTAATAATGTATAAAGACAAGCTAGTCATTATATGAGAAAATCTGCAAATTATTTTGATATTTTTAAGTATCTTAATAAAGACAAGCCATTTTGATATACTGTAATTGTGAATTAATTAATTAAAAAAAAATTTTTTTCTAATATATTTCTTATTTTCATTCAATAATATAAAAAATAATTAACTTTGACAATTAGAAGAATATATATTCAAAATGTTTTTAAAATATTATAAACTTTGATTTAAGATAAGTTTATTAATAAAAGAATTAATATAATTTAGATTCTACATATATACAATACTCAAGTATATTTCGTACTAAGTAATCAATGGATATAATAAACACATTCCATCAGCTTGGCTTAATGGATTATTATATTAAGAAATATAGTTTATCAAAAAAAAATAAAAACATTGATCAACTCCTGAGTTTTAATTTTGTTAAAAGGAAAACGAGCCAAGATATGATATGCGCCATATTCAATTTGGCAAGTTTCTTGTCAAAAGTGCCAAGTCAAATTCTCAAAACCACGTTACTTTAGTCATTAAAAATAGAATATGATGTACTGTAGATCTTTATAATTAAAAAATTAATATATAGACCCAATCGTTAGCAATTTAAATATGACTAGAATGAAACATGGACGATCCAAATGCGGACACTGAGTGGTAATTCTTTGCTTGTAATAATTGTATTATATATTATCAGATAACGAGTTAATATTTGAATATTGATAGGAATGACATTTTACGTGCAAAAGGAATTCTACCCCCAAAGGAGGGACCAACTGAGGAAGAAATTTTTGAAGAATTAGATCAAATGATTAGAGAAAAGCAAGACAAACACCTCGAAGATAAAACATTAGATGAATTAGACGAGTTAGAGGACGAGGAGGACGAAAGGATTTTATTGGAATACAGGTTTGTGAAGAAATTTTCTTATAATGTTACAAATGATCAATAAATATTGAAGTTTGGCTAGGCAGAAAAGAATTGCTGAAATGAAAGCTGAAGCATCGCTCGAGAAGTTTGGTCATGTTACGCAAATAATGAAGCCCGATTTTATAAGAGAAGTCACCGAAGCGAGCAAAGAAGTTTGGGTAGTGGTACATTTGTTTAAAGATTAGTAGGTCTTCCTTTCTTTATCATTGATAATAATTACTTTAAATTTATATATTGATAAAATTACATGGATTATCTAGTATTCCGGAATGTAAACTCGTGAATATGCACCTAGCAACCCTTGCTGAAAAACACAAAGTAACCAAATTCTTAAAAATTATTGGCGATCAATGTATACCAAACTATCCTGATAGAAACTTGCCAACCTTACTTATTTACGGCGAAGGGGATATGAGGCATCAATTAACTGGATTGTCTCAGTTGGGTGGAATGAATATGACACTTGAAAGTAATTATCAGAAACAAGACTATTTCATTTATTTTTGCAGACAAAAAAAAAACAACTAAAATTCGCTAAATTTTCGGCGTATGTTAGATCTCGAAAACTATCTAATATCTACTGGAGCTATTGGGGAGAATAGAAAAGTTGTTGAAAAGTCAACAGCAAGAAAAATCATACAAAATCCTGCAACTGCTGCACTAAGTGACGATGAATATTCAGATGAAGAATGACAGTCTTCCGGTGCTGAAGTCATAAATCTAAAAATTTCAAATATCCCTTACCAACTTATTCATGATTCTCAATGTAATTGGACAATATAATGAGTATTAGAATACGGTGACTTCAATTTTCAGTCCACAAGAGCTACATGTTTGTGTGGTGACTCCTGTTTGTGGATCTTCCACTGTTACTCCAAATTCGTGTTTATGTTCTTCACGTTTCCGCCCCAACACTTCCGTTCTTGTACGTTTCCGAAGGTCTTGAAAATCCACACGTTAACAAATCCATATGAAACAGTCGAATGCTTCGTGCGAACAAAGGTTACCTGCGAGCTTTGTTTTGAATTTCTTATCCTTTTTTTTTCTTTTTTCTTCCTCGCGTCTCTCAAATTCTTTATCGAGTCCTTCCTCTCCTCCCCATTTATTGAATGCGAATTCTTCCACCTTTTAAAAAAAAAAATTAGTTGATCCTACCTGATACGTGATTCCAAAAAGTGATATAGTCAGAATGTACAAGCCTACTTGTTCCCTGAGATACAACATCATATCATTCCAGGTCGATTGATGTGGGTTTGGTCTCGATAGGTGTGGTAAAACTTCCATATCATTTAATTCGGCTATGCGTGTTCACGTACAATTTAGAATTCGTAAGCTTAGAGGGATCAAATAATGAATAATTCTTACGGTCTGTCAACAAGTAATCCTGATAAAATACAAATCATTAATTTTACAATTTTTAAACCAATAAACAAATCAAATGAACCCATAGTATACCTCCTTCACTTCTGTTTTGGTCAGTAAACTATATTTTTCTGGTTTTTTTTTTTTACAATCATTACAAATGTTCACACGAAATGTCTGACGAAATCGGTAATCGATTTCCACTGTTTTACACTCTTTACACCTCGGGTTATCGTCGAGAAAAATGCTAAGTGCTAAAAATAAATATATTAACATATAAAAATATTATAAATACATAAGCAGGTAAAATTAGAATACCTGGCTCCTCCGGATCGAGAGCTCTTTCCTTTCGCTTTTTTGAATTTCCATTGACTTCTTCTGCTAAGAAACCGCCACGGGTATCAACCATTTTCGAAAGGTCGTATTCTACATAATTTGCGAATTTCTTCATAGGTGGTAAGGTCCCTTGCGAATTTTGCTGATTTGTGTGTTCTTGCTGTTTTTGTCTTTCCAGTAACTTGTTCTTCGCCTTTAAGCGATTATCCTCTATGCGTTTTCTTTGTTCCGGTGTTAATATTGAAGAAGAAGAGTCTGGAACTACTGTCCCTGCCTCTTTAATAAGATCCGATGAAGTTTTATTAGGTGATGTTAGATTATCCGTCATTATTTTCTTTGAGTGAATCGTTTCGAGAAGAATACAGAATTATTAATAAGATCAGGATTTTCAATTATCTAATTTATTAATTAATCCCTCAAATACCCTAATACCTTTTATTACTGTAAATCTTAATCATTTTTTTTTTTTAACCCGTGGTCAGGCCAGCATTGTTAATATAAAGTTAAAGTTATTTACAGTATACTTGTTATATAACTATATTCTTTTTTTACCTTTTTGTTAGTTTTATTTTTGATTATGCTAATGAATTCATCAAGTAATATATTATTACAGGAAATATAATTCCTGATATATTTACATTAATTGAACTGGTGCTATTTTTAAAAGTAATTGTTTTATTTTCTTTTTATTTTCTTCCTCTTATTCTTTATTGTTTTTGTGTTTTTCCTTCAATTAAACTTATTCTATTGTTCAATTTTTCAAGGTTTCAAAGAATCTAGTAATATGAATATATGGACTTTTAGATTTGTTATATAGACTTTCCTATTATAATAATTGATTGGCTTTCTATTGCTATTAGTGGCAAAATAATTAAAGGATTTGATAAACTCTAAAATATATTTGCTATCATAAACATTAAGTCTTTTTTTCTCTTGTTTAAATATGTTTTCTATCTTATATTGAAATTGGTAAACACTTTTTATATAATCTTTAATAATGTTTTTTTTTTCAATCTTTTATTTCAACCTATAATACTCTTTTATTTGGGATGATTACTTGATTACTATATATTGTTCTATATATCATTTCTTTCAATGCTTTTTTAGAACTTGAAATTTCCAATAATTGGACTCTTCTGATAGACTTTTTTGTATTGAAATAGGAAATCATATGTATTTTTTTTATATTTGTTTAATTATATATTAACCTTCTATTATTGTACCTTCTATATATCCCTGACATTAAATTGATTTTGATTTTTGATTCTTAAAGAGGCTGATACATTTGAAGTGCTCTATTTTAACATGCCTTCTAGTATCATTTAAAATCAATTTTTCCATAATATCTATTACTGTTAAAACTTGTTTCCTATAACACCCAGAGTTTCTGTTATTTATCAAAATTGAAGTTGAGAGTATAATGTTCTGAACTTCATTTTATCTATTTTTCTTTTTTAAAATTCTATAAGCTGGTTTAATTTATTTTTTTGTATTATCTTAGTTATAGATTGATACTATCCTAGAATAGATCCTTTACCATTTTCTGTAAAAGTTGAAATATTTGTTAATTTCTTACCTTTTTTATTTTATAGTCAACTAGTTGATCTATATACATTAGCTTATTGTTTCTAAATTATGAAATAGCTTTTCAATACTCTTTTATTGATAAGTATTCTTTGATTGAACTGTTTTCCTGATTCCATTCAAAAATGTCTTTCCATTTCTAGCTTTGAAAGATAATACCTATATCCTTAATTAGCTGCAATACTTGTAGTATAAAGTTATTTCTTCCTGGAAGATGATTTAGTAAGTTGCAAATAAGCAAATTGTTAGGCTCCCAATATTTGATCTATACTTACTTGAGTTTAATGATTATTGTAATTCCAGTTGATCCTAAATCATTTAATCTATTGCTTAGTCCTGTTATTTGATTTTCTTTTTATAACATCCAAATACTCTTTAAGCTATAAATATTGAAATAGTATATTACACTGTTGGGTATTGAGTGACATAATATGGACTTATTTTTAAATAATTTTCTATATACTATTATTAAAGTGTTATAGTATATATCTTTCAAGAAAGTATACAATGTTGCATTTTGAATTCAATTCTTAGTATTAGCACTTTATTCAAAATATAAAGAGTTTATTTATCAGTTAACTTTTTATTTTTTAGAGCTCTAATAACTATATTAATTTTCTTAAGCATCTATTCTTTGAGCTCAATGGCTGTTTTTTAATTACTTATCCAGATTTCCAAAAACCTTGCTTGTTTAGTTCTATTCAGTTTTTTAACTATTTCTTTTTGATCCCTACTTTTACTTTTTCTGGATAGTAGTTAGGATTGTTAATAATAACTAGTACTAATTTGTTACTATTAATTTAGGAACCATTTATCTTGTAAAAGATTTCTATTTCTTATAGGATTTTTTCCATATATTTCTTGGATTGAACTACCTATGTGATATCATCTATAAAAACTATCACTGCATGCTGTAACTCTAACTTTCTACTACTACTTCTTTTTAAATTTAAATTTCAAATAACTTATATTTTATATCCTTTTGTCTTATCATTTTAAATCTATATAATAAATAATTACAAAATATTCTTCATATCAGAGTTGATATAGTTTCTTCTTAATTGATTCTGTCTCCTACAATAATTACTTCTGTTGGATTTTTTTTATATATTACTTTGAATTTTCTATCATGGAAAAGACTTATTATGATTTGAATAAAACTTTCTAAAATTTTTATTCTTTTTATAGTCTTGACTAATATATCTAGGTTAATAGTATCATATACCTTTGTTTGTTTTTTTTTTTTTTTTTAAACCTGTGATAAGAACAGTACTGTGTGTTTATTAATCATTAAGAAAACTGATTGAGATATATAAGACAATTGTATCAAGGTTAAACTAAAAGACTCGTACTGACATACTTGTCAATGGCTTTTAATTCTCAAAAGAGCTTTAGCCTCTAAGTATAATTTTGGGAACAATATTTTACTCTGAACTAAGTTTTGGGTAAAGACCCTCCTAACTTACCCATCATCACCAGTTGGTTGTCACTACTTATTATCTTCCAAAGAACTGAATTCGAGAAACTACAAAAGGAAAAAGGAAAAAATAAAAGAAAAGGAGAATATCTAAAAATATGTAAAAGTATCTACAGTTTCTATTTAATATTTTTATGTTACATTCAACTCTTTAAGCCATCCCCAAACCTTGTAAGTTTATTCAGTAACTAAATAGTATATTTCATTTATATCTCCTGTTTGTATCCATACATAGGAACTATTTTTCTATACTATGTATACATTAAATAAGTACTATATCATCAGGAAATTTTTTTGACAAAGATCTCCGAAGATTTTTGGATGTAAAATTCCAGAGACACTCTGTCATCATTAGAAGTCTCTGGAGCAAAGATTTATATATACAACTCTAAAGAATTTTGAATGTTTTAAATTGTAATAAAATAATTTCACACTATTATTAAAATATTTATTTTTAAGAATTTATTTATTGAAAATTACTTTTTTTACATATTTTTATTAATTAATTAAATTTACATTCTCATTGCCGAAGTAGATCTTTCTATTCTTACATTTTCTGATTACAATCCTGGATCATTTTCATCATTTTCTATTTTCTCCAGAGTGCTTTGAAATTCAATATCTTCATGCTTATGCATTTCTTAATCTTCATTGCTTAAATTCCCTTCTATAAATCTGATTTTCTTTTTAATTTTTTTCTAAAATATTTTATTAGTAAACAAATAACTCTATAATACTTCGAAGAATTTTAAAAC